TTCCACGTCTGACGTTCTTGCAAGATCTTGCAAGCGCATTTCTTTGTTGAAAGCAAAGGCAGCTGTTTTAATTGCTTTTTGCTTGAATGAACCCTGGGTCTTGGGCTCTTGGATGGATACTTCTGATGTTATGTAATTTCATCAAACCTCTGAGTGCAAGGCAATGTTGTGGGAGTGCCGCAGACAAATAGATGCCTATGGTCACCATGGTGTCACAAGTGGTTCCATTTCTTCAAATTCTGTTCATATCTGATATCCATTCGCATTCCCTTCGGAAATGCTTTCGAAGGCGAGATGCCTGTGTCCAACGATCACTGGGTGGCTGAGGAATCAAGGTGTGCACAGCAGTTGACACTACAGGGCCGCCTTAAAACAAGACACTTGAGGAGACGAATGCGTGGAAATTTGGAACACCTTACTTAGTGGACTGGAATGTGAATACTTACATTGTTCATCATTGTTCATGGAAGATCAAAGGGATTGAACTTTGAAGTACAGACGTTGCCTTTGAGATGCTTTTGAGATGACTTTTGCCTGACTTTAACCAATGTGATTCGCAGTGAATTCTGTCCGAGAACAGCCCTTGATTTCCTGGTCTCGTTGAAATGCATGGGGTTTCAAACCGTTTCAAACCGTTTCCGGAGATCGCTCAAGTTGACCGCCAGGTTGTTCAAGCAAGCGCATGTTTCGGCTGGTATTGACTTCAAGAAATACGACGACATCGAGGTCCTGCAGTTGGGATCCACGGAGAGCCTCTTCTTTAGCCTCTTTCTTCCCTTGGCAACAAAACCAACCAACAATTGACACAAAAATGAGAGAACGAAGCGACAACCGAAAAACCAAGCGATGGCTATGGCGTCCAAGAACAAACAATCAAAACCACAGACCAATAACAAGAAAAACATAAAGCATATGCTAAGCATATGTAGAAATCAAGGGAAAAGGAAAAAGACACCAAAATGAATACAGACTACGCACAGACTGCGCACAGACAACGCACAGACTACGCACAGACAATACAGACACAATACAAGAACAGATGCAGCGTGTGCAGCGTGTGCAGCGTGTGCAGCGTGTGCAGCGTGTGGCAGCGTGTGTAGCGTGTGCAGCGTGTGCAGCGTGTGGCAGCGTGTGGCGCACCGAGGTGAGGCAGCACAAGATCTGCACACTTCACGTCGCCAAGACGGAGAGCAGAGAGCCCCACTCCCACAGTGCCAACACCAAGAAGGAGACGAAGTAGGAAGAAGTAGGAAGAAGTAGGAAGAAGTAGGAAGGACTAAACAAAAAATGGGAAATGAACAAAGCAAGATCAACTATAGTGCAAATGACAGACTTGAGCTTCAAACTGCTGCAAATCCCCTGGACATGACAGATATGCTGCAGTGACATGTCACAAAGCTTTATGAAGTTGAAGACAGAGCGCCTGGTCTGTCAACTTTCGGTCCAAGAGGAGGGAGGGCGGGTTTGCCACCGTTCTTTTTTGCGATTTAGCCATGGGAGATAGGTCTGTTTCTTCTCCACCGGGCATTCATTGGGCTGTATATTCTGATTCAGTTCTCCTTCAGAGCATCAAAACGATTGCGGACGAGTTGCAGTCCAGAGCTGCAGCAAGAGCAGCAGGCGTGGGGCAGTCGTGGGACGCCATCACAGACATCCCTGCAGCAAAGGCCGCAGCAACGCCCGGTCAGGGAGACAAGCCTAGCTCCACAAATGAGAAGAAGGTGGCAGAGCCAGTACAGGAGTGGTACTGAAAGCCTGGATGACACACCTTCCAACCTGCCCGTCAATCTAGATGGCGAGGAGTCACTGCTTGATGAGTTTTTGGGTCAATCTTCAGGCGGAGTGGACCAGTTGGAAGGCCAGCAACAGGCAAATGCAATGGAGCTTTTGTTTGGACCTCACTCAGATGATGCTTTTGCGAGTGGGGCCCATCAATCCCTTTTTGAACCCGCAGCTGACAGTGGCAATGCAGACAGAGGTGTTAGTTTTGTGGAGGCCGGTACAGATTCTTCAGCACAGTTGGGCTCCTTTTCACATGTGGGCAAAACCGCACCAGACACCATTATTTCTGAAGCGATCAGGCTAACAGATAAAAAGCCTGTTCTGTATCCTTGGGAGAAAGGACGCATGGCTCGGATTTTTGGTGACAAAGGCAGACTGGAAACCAAGATGCCTCGACTACATGCAAGTAGCAGCAGTTTTGTCAAGGTGCATGTTCAAGTTGGTGAGGGTTTGCAATGTGCTGCATCCATTGGAGTGAAACCTACCCGCACTGATGATGCCTTGTACACCAGCGTTGTCAAACAAGTCATCGGAGGGTCCTACATTGAGGAACGTGATGCCAAACGCGAGCTGGCAGTCAGGTATTGGTGGGACCTTCTCAGACTAGATATGCAGTGCAGTGATCCAGGCAGGATCGCATTGCGGGAAAAGGGCCTGGCAGACATATACAAAAATGGGATTGAGATCCTAGACGCATCATTGGGTGTGAAAAGCCCCAATACAGTCATGAAAAGGTGAAGACGTATAACACTTGGGTGATGCGCCAATTTGGCAAATCCTGGTTGCCAGTAGATGAGAGAGTAGTATGGGACTACTTCAAAAACCTGAAGGCCGAAAAAGCCCCAGCCACGCGAGCTACATCATTTTTGGAGGCTTTGAGATTCTGCTTCTTTGTCTTCCGCGTGGATGGCTGCGAGGAAGCTCTTGGTAGCTTGCGGGTGAGAGGGCTTGCAGCACAGCTCTTTGCCTGCAAACGACCTTGGAAACCAGCGGATCCTTTGACAGTAGCAGATGTGCAATTTTTGCACAAAGCGATGATGGACAATCGACGCTGCATGGTGGATCGGGTCTTCATTGGACATTTATTGCATATGGTGTATGCTAGAGCTCGTTTTTCAGACTTGCTGGCCTCAGTCAACTGCATGCTGGATGACGAGAACATGTTCCTGGAGCTCGATGCGGCGGTGCACAAGGGTTCGAGGACTGCAGCCACCAAGGCGATGCTATTGCCAGTGGTGGCACCTGCCAATGGTATCACTGAAGATTGCTGGGCTGCCGAATACCTTGCTCTGAGGAGGAAATCGGGGCTGGCCTTACCTGGCAAAGAACCTGAACCTATGTTACCAGCTCCGGAAAAAGGTGGAACAGGTTGGCAAAAGAGGTTCTTGACCTCACAGGAGATGAACTCCTTCATGAAGCGGCTTTTCATGGATGGCGGCATTCCTTTGGAGGGCAGAAGGATCTCTACTCACTCATGCAAAGCTACATGCATTTCATGGTGCGCCAAACATGATGTTTCTCCTGAGCATCGTGCAGTGCTTGCGCGTCATAGCACTGCTGCGCAGGGACCTACTGCATTGTACTCCAGGGATTTGGTGACAGCTGCACTTCGGAGTTTGGTCAAGGTCCTTGACGCTATTCGACAGCAGGCTTTCTTTCCGGACAAGTCCCGATCTGGAATGATCACTCCGGTTCCTGCGCCAAGGGCTCCAGGACCGATGATGCCGATGCCGTCGACCCCAATGCCGTCTATGCAAACCGAGAACCTGGAGGTTGCAATGGTGGATGGGCAGCAAGATGTGGCCAGCGTGGCTCCGTCTCCAGAAAGTCCACTGCCTGAGACACCAAAGTCACGGCAGAGAGTTGACTGGCCCACTGATGAGGTGGTTGATGTTGAGTCGCAGGCACCTGATCCTCCTGACCTTTTGAAAGATTGGGACAGCGACTCCAGCAACTCTTGCAGTGAGTCTGACAGTGACAGTGACGTGGAGGTGAGCTTGGAACAGGCTGGTGAACCTGACAAAGCTGCTCAATCTGCCGTGCCATCCACGTTGAAGTGGTATATCAATGGCAGCACCTTGGTGATCCACGAACGACGAAATGAAAAGTCGTTCAAGTGCGGAAGGGTCATTGGACCACCATACTTCCCTGTGCACCAGCTGACTGGGCTGCGATGCGGGCAGTGTTTTGCAAACACTCTGTGATCCAGTGGTTGCCCACTGCGACAAAAAGAAGCGGCTTGCGCCGCTGTTAGGTTGTTTGCGCAACCTTGATGAAGCTGGTATGTCCAGCCATGTGCATGTTCAGATGTTTGATTGATTTGTCAATTCTTCCCACGGAGACATTTGTTTGCAATTTTTCATGTTTGAAAACCTGGGATGTTGTGGAACATCTGGATTGGGAACGATGCTCATGTGTTAAAAATTTTTGTGGCATTTGCATGTCTCTTTGTTGCATTGTGGTTTTTGGTTCAGTTTGTGTGAACGCATGTGATGCAATGATCAATGTAAATGACCGTCAGTTTCCGGTTCAAGATGGCAGGTATTGTGGACAGTGAAGCGCACTTTGAAGCGCGAGCCAATGAGTACGGTGTGCCAGCAAATTTTTTGCAGGCGCTCAGACGCGAGGGCATAACAACTGTTGGACACCTAGCCTTTGCGGTGTTTAGACCCGGTGCAGAGTTCAACGAGCGTGAATTTGATACCTGGGCGCAAGGAGTGAACAACAATGTCCCTTTGACTATGGGTGCAGCAGCAGCGGTAAGGCGACTCCACTATGAGTGTGAAGTGATCATGACATCAACAATCAGGTCAACAGTAGAAACTCCCGACTCTTCCACGCCGAAAGCCATACCATTTGCTGAAAAGACAGCCAGGATGGAGCAGATAAGGTTGAGGTTGCAAGGGCTGAATATCATTGGTGTGGGTGAACCTTCGCATTCACTTTTGGATGAGTGCGCACATCAATTTGAAACCAGAGTGCTCAAATATCTTGAACCTGCAAGATGTACAAGTCGGGAAAATGAAATTACATCAGGTCGTACCGACAAGAAACTCAAGTTGGATGCTGGTAGTTTGAGTATCAAGGAATCCAAATCGGTTCCGGACGAAACAGTATCAACCACGTACAATGCGCAGACGTGGAATTGTATATGACTTTGCAAACCTGATCAGCTTTCGATCACATGAATTGTATGTGGAGAAATTGCTACGTCATTTGTCGCTGGAACCACCGCCTTCATTCCAGGCTGTCACATTGGCACAAGTCATGCGGGCGGACAAGGAAGTGTTCACATACCTTGCACACAATGTACAAGACATTAGGCCTGATGCTGCAGATGTCCGACCACTTGACAACGCATTGGAAGATGCACTGAAGGACTACAACACAGCCTTCCATCTTTTGCCTCTGCCCAAAGCACATGCAAGTGAACATAATGCGCCCAAGCGCAATTTCCCAGAGCCATATCCTACACAGAACACCTATAAAGGACGTGGCAAAAGCAAGGGCAAAGGCAGCAAAAGTTTTGGCTCCAATGCTGCACCAAAAGGCTATCCAGGATGCGGGAGAGATGGCAAGAACAGGCCAATATGCTTTGACTTTAATCTTAGTCAGTGCACCAAAGCCCCTGTTGGTGCTGCATGCGCCAAGGGGCGACACGTTTGCTTCAAGGCTGGATGTTTCAAAGCCCATCCTTACAAAGAAGGACATGCTGATGAAGCCAACAAGGAGTGACTAGCCCAAACAAGGCTAGCGGATGCCAAACCTGATTTTTTGACATCCAGTGAACACGTTGTGGTCCTGGAACTTTTTTGTGGAACTGCAGGCTTGAGTGCTTCGTTGAAACGACTTGGACTCGACATTGTTGCAGTGGACAAGAACAAACCCAAGGCGCCTAAGGCGCTTGTTACAAAACTTGACCTGACGCTTGTCTCAAATCAACTTTTGGTGCTCAGCTGGATTCGAAACCCACAGATTAAAGCTGTCTTCATGGCCCCACCTTGCGGTACTGCCAGTGCAGCTCGTAACATACAAAGAGAAGATGACCCATTTTTACCGCAGCCTCTGAGAACAAAAGAAGTTCCTGACGGTCTGCCAGGTTTACAAAACCTGGACTTCTTGCGTGTGCAACAGAGCAATGTCCTATATGATTTTTCTGCAACCGTTTTTGATTTATGCTGCGAGCTTGGCAAATTATGCATGTGTGAAAACCCACGTGACTCACTCTACCGGGACACCACCCCATGGATGGAACGACAACACCAGGACACTGACTGTGCACAATGTCATCAAGCTTGTGCATATGGTTCATCACGTCCAAAGTGGACGAAATTGCTGGCAAATTTCTCAGAAGTTGAGCAAATAAATGCAGTTTGCGATGGCAAACACAAACATGATGCATGGGGATATCAATTTAAAAACGGCAAACGACTATATGCAACCACTCTGGAAGTTCATTATCCCGCTGCGCTTTGTGACAAAATCGCTGCAGCATTTCTACTTGCATTGCAGAAACGTGGACTTGCCGTTGCTGTACAGGTCCCTATCAACTTAGCTGCGCGTACCCTTGCCCAAAATCAGCCAGCCAGCAATAAAGTTGCACCACTGATACCTGAGTTCAAAAGCAAATGCATTGCGCTTTTTCATGGTGACTCATGCATATGGCCACACCACAATGAATTTTTACAATGTTCAAAAGTCCTGCAAAAAGTTCAAATGGGGGGTGAAAACTTGCAGTCCTTGTGCAACAACATCATTGACCAATGTCGAGTTTGGAATATAGATGTGCGGGTTGATTTTGAACCCACCATTTGCAATTTTCCGTGCGTTTTGGAGTTGAAGCTCTGTGGAGTTTTTTGGAGTGAGCAAGAGTTTGTTGAACAAGCTATGAAAGCAAAGCACCCACTCTCTTTGGACTCGGCGGTGCCACAGCAGTTGCTTGATGCGCTCCACTTCACTATTGAGAATGACGAAGCCACCGTTGCAAGAGTGAGAGCTGAGTTCTTTTCTCATTGGACCCGTAGGGCTTTGCAGTTGGAGAGTGATGAGAAAAACCTCAAGAAAAACATGCAACATGATGTGGCAAATGCGGTTAGCGGAAAAAGAATTCTACTTTTTGAAGAGATGTTGAAATCAACAGGTTATCCTGATCTTGGCGTTGTGGATGAACTTAGATGTGGCTCAGATCTTACAGGTGAGGTGCCCGTTACAAATATGCTCCCCAAGAAGTTTGAGCCAGCGCTGATCTCCGAAAACGAGCTCTGTGCCAACGCAGAGAGAATGAGGGATGCCGCAGTGCGGGAAGTAAGGAGCTCTGGTGACATGGAGATTGATGAGACTGTTTGGAGAAAAACCCTGGAGGAGGTAGACAGAGGGTGGTTAGTGGGCCCTTTAAGTGAGGGCATGGTGCCAGCTGACCGCCCACTTTCTCGAAGGTTCGGTTTGCGCCAACGCCATGACAAAGTTAGATTGATTGATGACTACTCTGAGTCAGGGGTGAATGCTTGCGTGACTGTTTCAGAGTCTCCCATGTTGCGCACGGTAGATGTGGCTTGCGCACTCTTGATGGTTTGGTTCAGTGCATGCAAGGAAGCCAATGTTGATAGCGATTTAGCTGTGCGTACGTTCGATCTGGCGAGCGCCTACAGACAAGTTGGTTTGAGCACAAAGGGTCAGCAATTTGCTTACCTCCGGGTCTTTAACCCACGGAGCAAAAGGGCTAGTTTCTTTCAAAGCCTTGTTTTACCGTTTGGAGCAGTGCGTAGTGTACACTCTTTTCTGCGACTTGCAAGGGCATTGTGGTGGCTGGGTGTTACAGGATGCTGTTTCATTTGGACGTCATTCTATGACGATTTTATTTCATTTAGCCGGCCGAAACTGGTTGGAAGTACTGAGCAGGCGGTTACTGCACTGTTCAGGCTCTTGGGATGGATCTTTGCTGAAGAAGGTGAGAAAGCACAGCCCTTTGACTTGCATTGTTCCGCCCTTGGTGTTGTCTTCGACCTTGGCTCAGCATCGTCAGGCAAAGCCTTAGTGTGCAATACAGAGTCAAGGCGCACAGAACTATGTGAAGAACTGCTGAAAGTTGTGAAGGAAGGTCGCCTGACTAACAAACAGGCGCAACGGATGCGTGGCAGGATGCAATTTGCGGAATCCCAATTGTTTGGCCGTACCGGCAAAAGATGCTTGCGTGTACTTGCTGACTTCGCAGAAGGTAAAAGATCTGCGCTCACCGACAAAGACAAGTTCTTTTTACAGATGTTTCGCAATCTCATGGAAGCAAATGTTCCTAGAGAAGTTCGGGCTTTATGTTCTGAGAATGTGTTGGTGTTCACAGACGCTTGCTATGAAGTGGGGCATCCTTCCTGGCCTTGTGGTCTTGGGGGGGTCATGTTTGCTGGAGGACAGGTGAAATATTTTTCACTAGCGGTTGATAAGGAGATGCGCAAATTGTTTGGTGAGGGTATCAAGAAGCAGATTATTTTTGAGGTGGAAACCCTGGCAGCTTTGTTGGCTGCTGACTTGTGGCAAGCTGAATTTGGAAACAAAAGAGTTGTGCTGTTTGTGGACAACGAAGGTACGAAATTTTCACTGCTTAAAGGTCTCTCTGACAACCCTTGCGTTGACGCAATGGCTGAGTGCTTCGCTACCCTGGAATGCAACATTCACTCCATGATTTGGATCGCAAGAGTGCCTTCGAGCAGCAACGTGGCCGACCCGCCCTCCAGAGGCATAACAAATGTTCCCTTACTGGCAAATGCAACTGACTCTTCTTCTCTGGCGAAGGAAAAACTACTTGAAATCGTCGCACAGATTTTTGAGTTGGGGGAGAAGGCTGAGCGACGATCCCCAGATGAAAACAAGAGTCAATGCAGCGCTTGACATTCAGTATTTGCTTGAAAGTGGTTCAACGAATAAGCTGCAGTGACATGTCACAAAGCTTTATGAAGTTGAAGACAGAGCGCCTGGTCTGTCAACTTTCGGTCCAAGAGGAGGGAGGGCGGGTTTGCCACCGTTCTTTTTTGCGATTTACCCTCCATCCACCCCTACTACCACCAACTGGATCAACATAGCAGTTCAATGGCCGACCCACAGCCAAGAAGGCTGAGCGACGATCCCCAGATGAAAACAAGAGTCAATGCAGCGCTTGACATTCAGTATTTGCTTGAAAGTGGTTCAACGAATAAATATATATATATATATATATAAGAGTTTCAGAGTGATTCTTCCTCCAAATTGCTGCTTCCAAATGCTACAACAATCCTTTATTTCAAGGAGTTCAATTTAAGTGCTGGGGTAGTTTAATATGTTTAATCCGTTCACATCTCAGATGCGACGCTGCCAGGTAAAGACCCATGGAGGATCGAGGGAGGAGACTCCGATTGAGACGTTTCAGGAGGCACACCGTGGGAACCCGGTAGCGATGGCCATAGCGGCCATAGCGGACCATAACTAGCCGCTAAACTAGCCATAACCTTCCTAGCATTGAGACGTTTCACAACTTGAGCTGAAACTTTTGGAACTCAGCATTTTCTCAGCTCAGTGGCAATCTGGCCTAGTTTTTATCGCTTTTTTGTTTGAGTCGATGGATTTATTCAGCTGTTCTCACTTTTTCTCATCTTTTCTCTGCCTGTCCTCTTGTTAATGAACCCCCTTTAGTCTGTCAACTGAAATGTAGAAACCAGTTCTGTTTTTCGAAATAAAATTGCTCCAAGCTGCGTCCAGGTGCGAACTGTTACAGAAATTCGCTTATTCAGTGACTTTTCTGGTAAATTTGCGTATCAAAGATGCTCCTGAGAGCTTCATGGGAGGAACAACTCTTCAGACTTTTCAATGCTCAATTAAAGACTTTCGCTGTGTTTTGCATTCAGTTGATGGCAAGAAAGTGACATGCAAAGCAAGGTTTCTCGTCCCCTTCCCCTTTTCGTGTGAAACTTCTTTCTTCTGACCCAAATATCTCATTCAAGCATCGTGGCATCTCCTTCTGATTGTTTTGGTTTGAACTGCAGACCTGAGAAATGCCGACGGTAAACCGTAAAACCTTTCTGTCACCAAACAGTGCAAAACCCAGAATTTCCAATCTGGTGCAACTTGCGGCCTATGGCGGTTAACCATTAAGTCTGAAGCGAGAGTTCGTCAGCGTTCTGGTGACTTTTTGGACATACTTTTTGGGTGAGTTCGATGAGGAGAACTGGGGCTGAAACCGTCATGGATTAGTGAGGCGAAGTCTGCAAGAGAATGATTAATGTACGTACATATACATATGCAATCTACGTAAAAGTATCCATGCATATCATATCCAATTTAATCGAAGCAAATGCAAACAAAAATGAATCTTATTTTATTTGATCTTATCTGACCTAATACATTTGAATACACAGGTAGATAGATAGAGGGATAAATGGATGGACAAACAGGCAGACAGATTGGTAACTGACTATCTAGCTATATATATATAAATAAAGAGAGAGAGAGCGAGAGAGATAGAGAGAGAGAGAGATAGAGAGATAGATGGATAGAGGGATAGAGGGGGAGAGGTACATAAAGATAGGTGGCTGTGGTGGAGACAGATTGGATCGATCAGTTTGGACGGATAAGTCAGGTTAGACATGGTTAGACAAGATTATACAAGACAAGATTCGAGATGAAATTCGAATACCGATAGATATCATCTATAGATATCGTCTATGCTGAAGCCTATGCCTCTTTTGCCGGCATCTGCCAGGCATGTGACCGCTTTTCTTTACCCGATGAGCTAACTGCCAACATCGATCGTTGCAACTACAACGTTCCAACTCCTGTGCAGAAGAATCTTGGCCAAGTAAAAGCGAAACATGCCGAGTCAAATGTTGGTCTGCATTAGGTCTTAAATGTGAGAAAGTCCTTTCTTTCTTGTTTTGACTTGAAAACGTTTTGGTGTTTGGTTCAAATATGTTCAAGTCAAGGGCGTGTCCACGTCATGTCGCATATGGTGACTCAAAATGTGTCGATGGTCGATGTCAAAGCACCCCTCTCCAAGTCTTCGTCCAATCCGCCCAAGGCACAGCATTCCTGCAGTGCTGGATGGAAGTGATGTGCTTGTCACTGCCCAGACGGGAAGTGCCGACCTCGGACTTCAGTGAGACTTCAATAAGATCAGGAGTGCATCATGTGTAAGTCAGGCCATTCTTTGAAACTGTTGCACCATCTTTAGTGTTTGAATGAACACCTGAGTCTTGGGACCTTTCCTAAACTCTGTGACATTCGGTACATAAATGTCATAAATGCATTCCAGTCTTTGGATCAAAGATCAAACCAGGCGGCAAAACAGCGGCATTTTTGGTCCCGATCATCACCGCAGCTCTGAAAGCTGGACGCAAGCCCCCTCAGGACGAAACCTGACAACAGTGGCTAGTGGCCATCAGGTCGAAAAGGTGAAGATCAAACATGTCTCAAAAAAATGATTAAAAAATGATCAAAAACATCTCAAAGTCATATGTTTCCTAAGTCAGTGGGAATTTGTCTGAAAAGGATTGGAATGTGCTGTGACACATGTGACACGTGTGACACATAGCCACCACATAAGGACCACATAAGGATCAGAAAATTGTCACAGGAGGGTGCAGTGTGTCCCACCAGCGTCGTCTTGTCGCCCACACGTGAGCTCTGCCAGCAGATTACGGTCGAAGCTGAAAGGCGATTGGATCGGGGACCGGCGGTTGAAATTCTCAATTATAAAACACTCAGAATATGACATTATCTGACACTATATATGACTAATTATATAACATAATATAACACTATTCATTTCAAATCTATCCCATAGCATAGCTCAACTGCCTCAACAGCAAAGCTCCGGTGAGAGCTGGGAGCAGCTGGGAGCTGGGAGATCTTCGCTGTGCGGCCAGGTTGACCTTCCGCTCTGGTGCACGTGTCTGTGCTATCTATGGTGGAGCAGATGCCATTCCACAGCTGCGAAAGTTTGCAGGGGGCATCGAGATTGTGGTTTGCACCTGGTCAGACCTGGTCAGGTGAGGAAATCGTTGAGTAAATCGAAAACAAAGCTGACTTTCCTTGCTGACTTGTCGATTGAACGGTTTGGTCGTCTCTCTGAATCCACGTAATCTATCATACTACATATCTGCTCTCTTTGATTCCCTTCTGAATATGTCAGAAAAGTGCACTCCAACATGTGTCAGAAATCCGGAGTTTTCTGCTTGGATGCCCTCGTTTTGCAGTGATTTTCTACTCAACTTTGGAGATGCGCTCAGAACATGTGAGGTACTCCTGGCCGACTTGAGGTGTGGTAGAAATTCAGATGGAAACACATAGGGGCTGATATGAAGACATCGATAGAATTATTCACCCCGCTTCGCGTGGGGTGGCCGCCCACACCGCAGGTTTATTTCGGTCCGTGAGAGGGGCTAAGGGTGGTTTTCCCGTGGGGGCTCCCCAAGCTAAGAATTTTAACTTTCCCCCCCGTGGGGGCTCCCCAAGCTAGGGAATTTTCACTTTTCCCCCCCGTGGGGCCCCGTGGGGGCTCCCCAAGCTAGGGAATTTTCACTTTTCCCCCCCGTGGGGGCTCCCCAAGCTAGGGAATTTTCACTTTTCCCCCCCGCTAGGGGGGGGGCTCCCCAAGCTAGGGAATTTTCACTTTTCCCCCCCGTGGGGGCTCCCCAAGCTAGGGAATTTTCACTTTTCCCCGCCGTGACAGCTTCCCAAGCTATGGAATTTTCACTTTTCCCTCCCTTGGAGGCTCTCCAAGCTGCGGAATTTCAAATAGCTAGACAACGACGCCTAGATAGTCCCCCAAATCCCGTGTTCTTTGAATGGGTTTCCATGTTTTTGCAATGGTTTCCTTCAAAGCACGGTACTTTACACTTTTGTCGCCATAAAACCGGTCGAAAACATCATGTTCGACAATGCTTCCAATTCCCTTATCTCCCCAACCGTTGAAAATACCGCTATTTACAGTGTTTTCTTCAATTTTTCCATGTTCCAATGCCGGTAGCCAACTCCAACATATATATAAGAAATCCTTCCAAAACATTGTTTTTGACAGTGTTTTTCCAATGTTTCCAGTCAAACAGACGGTAATTTACACGTTTTTTGCCATAAAGGCAGTAAATCCTTCCAAACATTGCTTTTGACAGTGTTTTTGTAATGTTTCCAGTCAAGCATACGGTAATTTACACGTTTTTTGCTATAACGTCAGTCCAAAACACTTGTTTTTGCAGTGTTTTCAATGCTCTGGCATCCAAAAACCCTGCAAAATCTTGCTATGTACAATGTTTTTTTCATTTTTGGCCGTTTTTCCATTGCCGGAAAGCTACCAAAATGACCCAAAATTCCATTTCAATACCCTCTTGCGCTCAGACACCCAAAAATCCTCGAAAAATGTCGAAAACACCACCGTATTCTGGTCTCGGTGCGAAATCGTTTTTGGGCCCCCCCCCCCAGCTAAAGCTGATATAGCGACTGCTATATTAACAAATGTCATTGAGCATTTAGTGTTGCTGTTTTGCCCCCCAATAAGCACGCCTTCACCGCCAAAGCGGTGTGGGCGGATTTGGCACTACTTTGTTTTCAGACAATTCGCGAATGTGAACCTTTGGACCGAAAATACTTGGAATATCTTGGAATGATTTGCAAATCCAGCTATTGCTGATCCTAGCCACAAAAGATTACCAGGCAGCTCTCTGGTATTTAAAGCTTCGAAGCGACATGGGATGTTTGGATGTTGGATTGGTGTACCAATCGAGCGTTGTGCAGGATTTCCTGCAACGTGGCGTAATGAGCATGGAAGAGGCCAAGCTCTGCTTGTTGCATGCATTTTCACCACAGCCCTTTCTGGACAGAAATGTCCCATGTAGCAACTTACCTGAGCTACTTTGGAGATCCAGCCTCTTGACTCTTACGACTCTTACGCTTAAGGAAGAATCTTGATGCCGCTTCTTGTGCGACACTCATCCACTACATAGACTTTCTCTCCGAATAAACACAATGCAGGAAAGAAAATAGGCCCCATGCTTCGTACTTGCAAAATGACATATTTAGGTAGCCTTGTGCAGTTGCATCCTGAGCCCAAAGTGAAGTCAGTGAAGTCACAAGGGGCATCAAGGGGCAGCGGGCCGCAGCGCATCCTTTGGAGGTGAAATTTTTGGCGCTCGACGAAGCTGACCGCATGCTGGACATGGGCGCCTTGTCTGCTTGTCTTCAGCTTGTCTTCAGCTCCACTACTAGACTACCGTTCCCGTGACCAGCAGTCTGCAGCATTCCGTAAAGTCAAAGGTGGCACACAACAGCCGTAGATTCGGAGGGATCCTGTCGTACGTTAGAGCAAAACTCAGTTTCCAACAACAAATGCATTACCGGTACTGTATTATCTGTATTGCTTTTTGAGGTACAGCATTGAGGGCAGTACCATCACTACCTTACTTGACAAACGAATTCACCGTTACCAGGGATACAGATGCAGGGATTCTGTCTGAGATTGTGCGCAGTTTTGGCCGCAGACTGGAGTCCGGTGTGGTTTCAGTCACTTCAATCCTCCATACAAAAAACATTCAAAAACTGTAGCCACTGTGCCAACAAGTCGAGGCCTTTCATGTCCAATTGCCTGACCTATAACTGCCTATAACTTATAACCATTTATAACCACAAAGTACTAGTGTTCTGAATTTTCAGCAAAGTACTGGGTCCACGGTCTAACACTCTGAAAGTCGGCAGGTTTTGAGCCACAGATTCGTGAGATCATCGAGAACCATGGGATGCCTCAGGCTGGGAAAGGTCGACAGACAATGTGCCTTGGTTGCAGCTGGTTGCAGCTGGTACATGTGGTCTTTTGGGACATGCTTGATCGCCGGAAAACCCAATGTGCTACTAGCTACCCAAGATTGAATGTATTGATCAAATTTGATCAAAAACACATCAAAATTGTTCACCGGTCAATCTCAAGATCTGTTTAGAGTCGACTGTGTTTTTGCCGACCCCCAGAGATGATTGAGATTTCTGTGCGCTTGACCGGCTTGACATGGCTTGACATGGCTTGACATGGCTTGACATGGCTTGACCCCTTGTGAGGATGTTTTCGGCCACTTTTCCCAAAGAAATCCAAACCTTGGCGATGGACTTCCTCGATCCAAAGTACTACAGCATCTCAGTAGGCACGACGTGACAACACGTGACAAAGTGAAAGAGGACGAAAGAGGACGAAAGAGGACGCAAGAGGACGAAAGAGGACAAAGGGTGCAGCTGTGCTTTGTGCTTCGGTCCTAGCCAGGGCGAGTTTGTAGGCTGGTCTAATTGAGGAAAACAAGATGACTACAAAACGATGATTTTGATATTTTGATTCTTGATTCTTGCGGTGATTTGGTTCAGGCCGAGTGGGTAGTACGACGAGCAGCGTGGAGCAGCGTTTTGAGTGCCGAAGCTTTGAATTTGGCTGTGACGTGACGGCTGTGACAGCATTGGCACAGAATGTGCAAACCGAATCCAGATGCAGCTGAGGGTAGAGTGAGTCAAAGGGTCAAAGCAGATGATGACTTTCTCGCAATCTGCAATGTATTCCACATATGTGCGGAGTCGTGAAGCATGGTGAGAGCATGGCGAGATGTTGAACGCTCAGGGACTTGAGCTACGGCGACAAGTTTGATCAGCTCCTCCAGACGTTGAAACAGGCGAGAGCCGTGCTGAGCCGTGTTGAGCCGTGCTGAGCCGTGCTGAGCCGTGCTGAGCTGTGCCGAGCTGTGCCAAGCTCAGGTGAAAGGTCAGAATGGTCCAGCGAAGACCATCGTCTTCGCCAACTCCAAGGGCATGGCACCTTGACAAAGAAACACGGGCTGATGTTGTTTGAGACTGTTTCAGAGTGTTTGATGCACTTGATTCTGATTTTTCTTGATTTCGTGTGGTAAATTGTGCTCTGTGGCAGACTGGAGGCACACTGCGATGAATTGTTGGGGTGTTTTGATGCGTCGACAAGACTCCATCGGAGCAACTGCACATTGTCCACAATGATCCCAACAAAAATCCCAGTGCAACATGTTGCGGTATGGTTGCCGTGTTGCTGTGTGGTTGCTGTACAAACTTTGACACACTTTGCTGCTTGTTTGCTGTGCATACTTGGTGCCTCCAGGTTGATGACGTCACGTATCAGCTGCAGAACAGCCGCATCCGTTGTACCAGTATGCATGGAGGCGGGAAATGGCAAGATTGGGAAGATTGGGAAGATTGAAAGATCAGGGTTGAAGTGGCGAAATCCGAAGCCAAGAGGACGCGTATTGACAGCCTATTGTGTTGAAGTGTTGAGCGGATTCTGGATTTTCGTTGCGCGCACCATGAAGCCGCTGTGCTCGTGTCCGCTATGTGTGTGTCGTGAGGCGTGAGCCAGAGCCAGCGAGATCGTGCCCTGCGCGATCTGAAGACTGGCCGTGCTCATGTGCTGACACCCAGTACCACCCAGTACCACCCAGAAAGCATCAGATTGAGTCCAATTGAGCATCAATTGAGCATCATTCAAATATTTCAAATTTCGAATGTACTGTAGAACTGCCCCACAGCTGCAGAGAAAACAATATAGGTAGAGGACGCACAGTACCTGAGATCAAACTCCAAGTTTGTTTCCCCTTGCCATGGCATCTCACTGTTGGAGTGTAAAAGCGTAAAGCGTAGTGTGGAGTGTCGAAATACTGGTGATGTTCTTTGGATCCCCTGCTGGAGCATTAGCAGCGGCTGAACGCTCATTTGAACACATTTCAACACATTTCGACAGCTTTTCGGACGCTGACAGCCGTGCTCTATCGTGCTCTTGTTGATCTTGTTGCTTTTCTCATGTTTTTTCCATTTTTTCTCATGTGTTTCTCATGTTTTCCAAGATCTTTCACATAAAAACACAGGTCTTGGTGGCCACAGATGTGGCTGCACGTGGCTTGGATTTGCCTGGCATTGACCATGTGATCAACTACGACCTTCCCTTGACGCTTGGAACGCTCGGAGCATGGTCATATCATGTCATATCATCATAAAATGTCATAAAACAAACAGAAAATGTCGATAAAATGCCATAAAAAGTCATAGACATAAATCAAACAATGCTCAGAGGCGTATGCAGCTTCTAGCACGCTGCAAAGAATCTGTAGCTGTTTGTTTCTTTTTCAAAGATTGAGTTCATTTTCAATACTCGTCGATCTTTACCAGATCGAAATGAAACTTTTCTTGTTCACCTAGCAGAGATTACCCTTTCAGCTCAGGAACGGAGAAGACTACGTGCACCGCGTTGGTCGAACAGGTTGGGGAACATGGGTCACATGTTGCCTCACACCTGCGTACAGCACTTCACCTGAGCAAGGAAGACGGTGGAGTAAATATAATGCAATGAAGTCGAGGGAGAAGTGACTCAGGAGTGATGCTTTTGTGACGCTTTCGGAAAAGACTTTCCGATTCCCTTCCGATTCCCGCCACGCTCGTGAGGTCGTATCGGCAACAAGGGTGTGGCCACGTCCTTTGTAACGAGGGTTGAACCAGCCCTGCAGGACAAAGAGAGATGAAACTTAAAGAAACACACATTTCAGAGGTGCACAGTGAACGTCGAGGTCCAGGTAGGACAGGCTGTATAATTTATAGCTGATAGATGCTGATAGCGATAGCTAGGTGTCAGGTACATCAGTAAACTTTGCCGTGTATGGCCTGGGGTGCAGGACATTGTACGATCCTTGAGGGATGCGAGGAAACAAGACAAGACTGCGTCAGAGGTGCCTGGTTGGATGCAGGAGACAGAGACAGCGAAGCCATGGCTGTGAAACAAACGAACTCGTTGGTTGGCAGCAGCTGTGAAACAGAGATACATAGAGATACATAGAGATACATAGAGATACTCAAGCTGTGTAACATAGACCCGGGCAAGCCGGCGGCGGAAGTTTCCCAAACATAAATGACCTATAGTTCAAAGACACCCTGTCCCGACCGTGTCCTTCCCTCGACACTCCACACCTCACACTGCACACTGCACTCTTCGCACTCCAAACTTCAAACTTCACACTCCACACTTCACACTCCACACTTCTCACTTCTCACTGCTTCCTTCACACTCCAAACCTCACACTTCACACTTCACACTTCACACTGCACACTTCACACTTCACAGTCCACACTTCACACTTCACACTTCACAGTCCACACTTCTTCACACTTCACAGTCCACACTTCACACTTCGTACACACTTCACACTTCACAGTCCACACTTCTCACTTCGCATTTCACACTTCACACTCCACATTTCACACTTCTCACTTCTCACTGCTTCCTTCACACTCCAAACTTCACACTTCACACTCCACATTTCACACTTCTCACTTCTCACTGCTTCCTTCACACTCCAAACTTCACACTTCACACTTCACACTTCTCACTTCGCACTTCACACTCCACACTTCACAGTCCACACTTCACACTTCTCACTTCACACTTCCTTCCCACTGCTTCCTTCACACTCCAAACTTCACACTTCTCACTTCGCACTTCACACTCCACACTTCACTCACACTTCACACTTCACAGTCCACACTTCACACTTCTCACTGCTTCCTTCACACTCCAAACCTCACACTTCACACTTCACACTTCACGCTGCGCTCTTCGCACTCCACACTGCACAGTCCACACTTCACACTTCTCACTTCACACTTCTCACTTCTCACTGCTTCCTTCACACTCCAAACTTCACACTTCTCACTTCGCACTTCACACTCCACACTTCACAGTCCACACTTCACACTTCTCACTTCTCACTGCTTCCTTCCCACTCCAAACTTCACACTCCAAACTTCACACTTCACACTTCGCACTTCACACTTCTCACTGCTTCCTTCACACTCCAAACTTCACACTTCTCACTTCGCACTTCACACTCCACACTTCACAGTCCACACTTCACACTTCTCACTTCTCACTGCTGCCTTCACACTCCAAACCTCACACTTCACACTTCACACTCACTCTTCGCACTCCAAACTTAAACTTCACACTCCACACTTCACACTTCTCACTTCCCACTGCTTCCTTCACACTGTACACTTCACACTGCACTCTTCACACTCCACACTTCACACTGCACTCTTTGCACTCCAAACTTCACACTCCACACTTCACACTTCTCACTTCACACTTCTCACTTCTCACTGCTTCCTTCACACTCCAAACTTCACACTTCACACTTCACACTGCACTCTTCACGCCCCACATTTCACACTACACTCTTCACACTCCACAGTTCATCTCATCTGAGCTCTTCTCACCTTATCCCAGCTCATCTCTTCTCATTTCGTCCCTTCTCATATGTCATCTATTAAGCTTTCATTAATCAATTCCCAGCACTACTACTAATCACTGTCGAACCCTTGATGCACCTACTCCAATACGATTTACGAAGTCCAGTTGCAAAAGACAATAGTATTGCGCATGCAGCCGCGGCACCAAGCAACCTTGACGCAGCCATTACAATGCGATCTGCAGAGACTGAGTTGCAAAACACAATAGAACTACGCACAACGGCGTCGGAAATTGTAGCTCTAAAACCGGATCTCGACGCCAGAGCGAAAATTAAAGGACCGGATAACCCCACATGTTACCAACTTCTTTAGACTTAGACTGACCATAGAAAAGCAAGAAGGGAAGAGGAAGTATAAGAGTGATGGAGCGGTGATGGTAGGTGAGTTTGTGTGTATGTATGTATGTTCATGTACAGTGAGTGAGTGAGAGTGTGAGTGAGTGATGTGAGTGTGGTGTGTGTGTGAGTGAGGGATGTGAGAGTGAGTGAAGTGAGTGAAGTGAAGTGAAGTGAAGTGAAGTGAAGCGAAGCGAAGTGAAGTGAAGGGAAGTGAAGTGAGTGAGTGAGTGAGGGAGTGAGTGAGTGAGTGAGTGAGTGGAGTGAGTGAGTGAGTGAGTGAGTGAGTGAGGGAGTGAGTGAGTGAGTGAGTTGAGTGAGTGAGGGAGTGAGTGAGGGAGTGAGTGAGTGAGTGAGGGAGTGAGTGAGTGGAGTGAGTGAGTGCCACGCAAAAGCGGCGGAGACCAAGGGACACCGGAGGGACACCGGAGGGACGCCAGGGCGTACATCCGACCCCTTGGCAGTGCACATTGTCCCATGCCTGCCACGCAAAAGAGGCGGAGACGGAGGGACACCGGAGGGACGCCAGGGCGTACATCCGACCCCTTGGCAGTGCACGTTGTCCCACGCCTGCCACGCAAAAGCGGCGGAGACCAAGGGACACCGGAGGGACACCGGAGGGACGCCAGGGCGTACATCCGACCCCTTGGCAGTGCCCATTGTCCCACGCCTGCCACGCAAAAGCGGCGGAGACCAAGGGACACCGGAGGGACGCCAGGGCGTACATCCGACCCCTTGGCAGTGCACGTTGTCCCACGCCTGCCACGCAAAAGCGGCGGAGACCAAGGGACACCGGAGGGACGCCAGGGCGTACATCCGACCCTTGGCAGTGCACGTTGTCCCACGCCTGCCACGTAAAAGCGGCGGAGACCAAGGGACACCGGAGGGACGCCAGGGCGTACATCCGACCCCTCGGCAGTGCACGTTGTCCCACGCCTGCCACGCAAAAGCGGCGGAGACCAAGGGACACCGGAGGGACGCCAGGGCGTACATCCGACCCCTTGGCAGTGCACATTGTCCCACGCCTGCCACGCAAAAGACGCGGAGACCAAGGGACACCGGATGGACGCCAGGGCGTACCTCCGACCCCTGGCATGCACATTGTCCCACTGCCTCCACGCAAAAGGCGGCGGAGACCAAGGGACAACCGGAGGGACGCCAGGGCGTACATCCGACCCCTTGGCAGTGACGTTGTCCACGCCTGCAACGCCAAGCGGCGGAGGACCCAAGGGACCCGGAGGGACGCCAATGGTCGTACATCCGACCCTTGCAAGTGCACGTTGTCCCAACGCCTTCCACTCAAAGCGGCGGAGACCAAGGTACACCGGGAGGGACGCCAGGGCGTGACATCCGACCCCTTGGGCAAGTGCCGTTGTTCCCACGCAGTCCACGCAAAGCGGCGGAGACCAAGGGACACGGAAGGACGCCAGGGCGGTAACATCCGCCCCTTGGGCAGTGCACGTTTGTCCCACGCCTGCCACGCAAGCGGCGAGACCAAGGGACACCGTAGGGACCCGGAGGGACGCCAGGGCGTACATCCGACCCCTTGGCAGTGCACGTTGTCCCACGCCTGCCACGCAAAAGCGGCGGAGACCAAGGGACACCGGAGTGACGCCAGGGCGTACATCCGACCCCTTGGCAGTGCACATTGTCCCACGCCTGCCACGCAAAAGCGGCGGAGACCAAGGGACACCGGAGGGACGCCAGGGCGTACATCCGACCCTTGGCAGTGCACATTGTCCCACGCCTGCCACGCAAAAGCGGCGGAGACCAAGCCAGGGCGTACATCCGACCCCTTGGCAGTGAGTGAGTGAGTGAGTGAGTGAATGAGTGAGTGAGTGAGTGAGTGAGTGAGTGAGTGAGTGTGAGATGAGATGAGATGAGTGAGGAGGTGAGTGAGTGAGTGAGTGAGTGAGTGAGTGAGTGAGTGGTGAGTGAGTGAGTGAGTGAGTGAGTGAGTGAGTGAGTGAGTTAGTGAGTGAGTGAGTGAGTGAGTGAGTGAGTGAGTGAGTGAGTGAGTGAGTGAGTGAGTGAGTGCGTGAGTTGAGTGCGTGAGTGCGTGAGTGCGTGAGTGCGTGAGTGCGTGAGTGCGTGAGTGCGTGAGTGCGTGAGTGCGTGCGTGCGTGCGTGCGTGCGTGCGTGCGTGCGTGCGTGCGTGCGTGAGTGAGTGAGTGAGTGAGTGATGAGTGATGAGTGATGAGTGAGTGAGTGAGTGAGGCGGGAGGCGAGGCGGCGGGAGGAGGAGGAAGAGGAGCGGATACAGAACTAAAAACAAAAACCCCACACGTCAATGTGGGGAAAAAGACGATTTTGAAGCACTTTTTAAAATAATTTTTAAAAAGAAAATCACTGGCGCCAAAATGGAGAAAATCTGCTGACAAATCAATGTCGCAGCCTTCATGCAGCCACTCCAATACGATTTACGAAGTCCAGCTGCAAAAGACAATAGTATTACGCATGCAGCCGTGGCAAGAAGCAACCTTGACGCAGCCATTACAATGCGATCTGCAGAGACTGAGTTGCAAAACACAATAGAAATACGCGCAACTGGGTCGGAAATTGCAGCTCCAAAACCGGATCTCGACGCCAAAGCGAAAAAGACGATTTTGAAGCACTTTTTAAAAGAATTTTTAAAAAGAAAATCACTGGCGCCAAAATGGAGAAAATCTGCTGACAAATCAATGTCGCAGCCTTCATGCAGCCACTCCAATACGATTTACGAAGTCCAGCTGCAAAAGACAATAGTATTACGCATGCAGCCGTGGCAAGAAGCAACCTTGACGCAGCCATTACAATGCGATCTGCAGAGACTGAGTTGCAAAACACAATAGAACTACGCGCAACGGCGTCGGAAATTGCAGCTCCAAAACCGGATCTCGATGCCAGAGCGAAAAAAAGACGATTTTGAAGCACTTTTTAAAAGGATTTTTAGAAGGAAAATCACTAGCGCCAAAATGGAGAAAATCTGCTAACAAATCCATGTCGCAGCCTTCATGCAGCCACTCCAATACGATTTCCGAGATCCAGCTGCAAAAGACAATAGTATTACCAATGCAGCCACAGCACGAAGCAACCTTGACGCAGCCATATTACAGGAGGTGAACATCCTAGACCTTGCAAATCCTAAATGCAATTCCATCGGCAACTCCTCCACCAGCACCACTTGCAATCCCATTTACAGTGAGGGAACGATCCTAGAGTTGCAAATCACAATGGAATTCCATCGGCAAACTCATCCGCCAGCACCACTTGCAATCCCATTTGCATTGCGGGAACGATCCTACAGTTGCAAATCACAATGGAATTCTGTCGACCACACATGCACGAAAAACAGTTGAACCCCCATTTACAATGCGGAACCGATCCGAGACCGATCCGAGACCATCCGAGCATGATCCGACCACACACGAGACCGTCTCGCACCCGTCGCACCGCAGAGGTAGATCATCGAGGTTCGGGGACGGACTTTGTATGGAAAAACATAGGCTTTCGTGCATCTGCTATCTCTCAAAACCGCATTTCGTGCGAGACTTCCTTCAAAACTCCATCGGCAACTCCTCCACCAGCACCACTTGCAATCCCATTTACAGTGAGGGAACGATCCTAGAGTTGCAAATCACAATGGAATTCCATCGGCAACTCATCCACCAGCACAACTTTGCATCCCATGTACAAATGCGGGAACGATCCTACAGTTTTGCAAAGCACAATGAAGTCCATCGGCAACTCCTCCACCAGCACCACTTCAATGGCCATTTGCATTGGCGAGAACGATCCTACAGTTCAAATCAACATGGAATGGAATTCCATCGGCAACTCATCCACCAGCACCACTTGCAACCCCATTTACAATGCGGGAACGATCCTACAGTTGCAAATCACAATGGAATTCTGTCGACCTCACATGCACGAAACACAGGTGAAACCCCATTTACAATGCGGAACCGATCCGAACATGATCCGAGCATGATCCGACCACACACGAGACCGTCTCGCACCCGTCGCACCGCAGAGGTAGATCATCGACGTTCGAGGACGCACTTTGTATGGAAAAACATAGGGTTTCGTGCATCTGCTACCTCTCAAAAACGCATTTCGTGCGAGACTTCCTCCAAAACTCCATCGGCAACTCCTCCACCAGCACCACTTGCAATCCCATTTACAGTGAGGGAACGATCCTAGAGTTGCAAATCACAATGGAATTCCATCGGCAACTCATCCACCAGCGCCACTTGCAATCCCATTTACATTGCGGGAACGATCCTACAGTTGCAAATCACAATGGAATTCTGTCGACCGCACATAGACGAAACACCGTTGAAACCCCATTTACAATGCGGAACCGATCCGAGACCGATCCGACCATGATCCGACCATGATCCGACCATGATCCGACCACACACGAGACCGTCTCGCACCCGTCGCACCGCAGAGGTAGATCATCGAGGTTCGGGGACACACTTTGTATGGAAAAACATAGGGTTTCGTGCATCTGCTATCTCTCAAAAACGCATTTCGTGCGAGACTTCCTCCAAAACTCCATCGGCAACTCCTCCACCAGCACCACTTGCAATGCCATTCTAACTCTTTCTTTGACTAACTCTTTCCCTGACATTCTAAAAGTTACAATTAACTCTGTCCCTAACTAACTCTTTCCCTCACTAACTCTTCATTTGACTAGCTCTTTCCCTGACAGTCTAAAAGTTACAATCCCTGATGAACTCTTTCCCTAACTAACTCTTTCCCTCACTAACTCTTTCTTTGACTAACTCTTTCCCTGATGAACTCTTTCTCTAACTAACTCTTTCTCTCCCTAACTCTTTCTCTCACTAACTCTTTCTTTGACTAACTCTTTCCCTGATGAACTCTTTCTCTCACTAACTCTTTCTTTGACTAACTCTTTCCCTGATGAACTCTTTCTCTAACTAACTCTTTCTTTGACTAACTCTTTCCCTGATGAACTCTTTCTCTCACTAACTCTTTCTTTGACTAACTCTTTCCCTGATGAACTCTTTCTCTAACTAACTCTTTCTCTCACTAACTCTTTCTCTCACTAACTCTTTCTTTGACTAACTCTTTCCCTGATGAACTCTTTCTCTCGC